TCGGGAAGGTGAGCATCATGGAATGCCAGTTTAATAGAACAAAGTGTTCTTGCATTGAGGGTGTACTTGAGTGGAGGCCCAATGTCCATCTGCTACCTTAATACTAAATCTATAAATATATATGCATAGATCTATTTCCCCATCGTCTTATATAAATATATTTTCATATGTACATGCCTGTATTTAGACCTCTATAAATGCCCTTTGCCTCCTAGTTTCTTCCTTTATTTCCTTTTACTTTCCTCTTGTCCCGCTATTATGTTTAGCCTTCATTTGGGTTTCAGTAATTCCTTTTGGGTACATTGCACTTGATCAAGCCCCACCATGCCTCCTACACCCTCCTCGCCATCGATTTGGGATCACGTGTTGTCTGCTTGTCCCTGGGGTTGTTAACACCCACTTTGTGTATTTCATCAGTGCTATTCAGCTGACTCATCCCTTCGTTGTGACCCTTCAATAAGAGGATGTCCAACTGTCTACAGATGGACTTTGGGTCTCCACTCCAACCCGCCTCATTTGCATTGATATGATGGGGTTTTTTTTGGTCTTCTGATGCCTGACACCTGATCCTATCAACGACACCTGTGATCACACAGGCTGGTGTGCTTTTTCCATGTGGGCTGTGTTGGTTCCCTGCTAGATGGCCGCTTATGTAACTTGAAGCCTTGAAGACCCCAGATGCTGTATCTTTTTTTAAATTTTTATTTCAGTATGAATTTTAATTTAATGTAAAGAAAAGCAAAATCCTAACAACTGAATCATTAGCATACATCATCACTAAATGAGAAAGACTGACGTTAAAGATTTCATTTTGCTTGGATCTGCAATCAATACTCATGGAATCAGTAGTCAATAAATAAAATGACATATGATGTTCAGCAAACCTGTTGCACAAGACTTTGTTAACGTGTTAACGTGTTAACGAGCAAGGATGCCACTTTGAGGACTAAGCTGTGGCTGACCCAATCCGCAGTGTTTTCAAACCCCTCATGCATGTGAAAGTTGATCAGTGGGTACAGAAGACATCAGAAGAACTGATGCCTTTGAAGCACAGAGCTGGCAAAGACTATTCAAGATACCATGGACTACCAGGGAAACAAACAACCTGTCTTGGAAGACATTGCCAGAATTATCCTTAAATGTGAAAATAGAGAGAAGCTGCCCCAAGTACTTTGGACATTCTAACAGGAGAAACCAGTTGCTGAAAAAGGTCATAATTCTTGGTAGAGAGTCAGCAAAGAGGCAGAAAACTCTCAATGAGATGGATTGACACAGTGGCTGCAACAATTGGTTCAAATGGTGTAGGAGAGGCCTGCTTGACTGTGTTGTGTGTAGAGTTACCATGTATTGTCATTGACTGGAGGCCACCTACAAACAATAAAAGCAATGCCTAGGATGATGTTATCCTTGATGCATTTCAGTCCATGTGAACAACTCCCAGTGTTCCTATAGCCATGCTTCATTCATTCCACATTGTGATTATTTATGGATGTTAACAGCTCGCCCTTCTCATTTGGAGGGATGCCCTAACAGCAAATGAAATTCAAAATATTTGAACTAACCAAGATATTAAAGATGACTCTACATTAACATAGCTCTTGCTCTCTTTTTGAGCAAATGGGGCTTGATCGAACTACCTTCAAATGGTGCTCATTTCCCAGAAAATGTTTGCCTGCTATTAGTAAGGGTTTCAGTCCCTAACCTCTCTACAGTGTGCCACCAATTCCTTCTCCCTATTTTGTCCTTAGTCTGGAAGCTCTGCTGAAATTTATTCACCATGGGTGACCATTGTGTTTTTTGAAATACTGGTGGTATAGCATCCGATGCTGTATCTTCTAATAGCCAGGCACCATCAGCTTTCTTCACCACATTTGCTAATGCACCCATTTTGTCTTCAGCAATTGTGTTGGGAAGGTGAGCATCACAGAATGCCAGGTTATTATAATAAAGTGTTCTTGCGTTGAGGGAGGACTTGAGTAGAGGCCCAATGTCCATCTGCTACCTTAATATTTAACAAAGAAATATATGTACATAGACTATATCCCTGCTGTTACATATTAATATATTTACATATATACATGCTTATATTTATACCTCTCTAAATGTCTTTTGCCTCCTAGTTCTTTATTTCCTTTTACTTTCCTCCTGTCCCACTGTCAGTTCAACCTTCATTCAGCTCTCTGTACTTCCTTTTGGCTACATTGCACTTGATTGAACCACTCCAGGCATTCTATGCCCTCCTTGCCATTGATTTTAAATCTCTTGTTGTTCCCTTGTCCCTGGGTTTGTTGGCTCCCCCTCCCTTTCCCCCACCTCCTCCTCCTCCTCTCCCATGTCTCCCCAGAACTGTCAGTCTTGTTCTTTTCTCCTCAGGATTATTTATCTGGCCTATCTTATATAGATAGACATGAGGGGAAAAAATGCCTGTAAATAGTTCCAGGTCTGTCTGTAAATAGTTCCAGGTCTGTCTGTAAATGGTTCCAGGTCTGTCTGCTGACCCTTATGAATGTTTTCTGATCGGGTCTGATGACGTGCCAAGCCCTGTTCCCTGAGTCAGAAATCTGTTTTCAGGATTCCTCGGGGACTTCGTTACTTTGCTCCCTTTGCTTCTCTGTTGTGCTCCCTTTGTGTTTCTTTTCAGGGTGGGGTTGGAGGTGGGGTCAGACCGGTCACAATTCACACACTGTCTCCAGTGCTGTCTCCCATTAAAAATTTATTTAGAATTATTTTGAGAAAGTATGATAAATTTTCCGTCTATGTAAATTAATAGGGTGGGACTACTGAATGTCTTGATCAAAGATTTTATAGAAGAATCCTGATCAAAAGCAGAGAAATGTGGAACAGAAATTCAAGTTCTCTGTCATACCTCCAGGTGTCTCAGGGATCATAAATGAGGTCAGTAGTAAGATTTGTATAACCTAATTTCTTAACTAAGTTATTCCGATGTTTTGCATTCGGTCAGGATATGAAATTGGCTGCATCATCCACAGGAATAATGTCTGAGGTCAGGTGGTTCACTGTGGCCATTGATTCACAAGGAGGCATATCAGTATTTCTGTGGGAGCCTGTGCTTTGTGAAGCTTTTACCAGGTGAATTCAGTACAGCTCCTCTTGATGAAGGATGTGCTGTGGGGTTGATCTTTTGCTGAGAGTGTCAGTTTAACACCTCTGAAAAACCAGTGACAACTTTTTTTTTCACCCTAATGAGAAAGAACTGTTTTCCCCCTTTCTATGATCAGTTGAAAGAAGATGGATGCACAGTGTTCAGCCAAAGTCAATGCAAGAAAGAGGAGGAAAGAGGCAACCGGGCCCAATGGGGCAACAGAGGACGATGGAACGCCTTCAAAGGTGGCACGCTGTGCAGTTGTAAGTAAAGAAGAGATTTCTTTGTTGAACTCTTAACCTGGTGTGAGGAGGGTAGAGAGTGACATATGACATTGTTATCAGTGTTACGTCTTAAATAATGGAAAGAAGGCATAGTCATTTTATCTTTACAGTTGGAAACCTTGTGCTTTGCTAGCAGGTATAATTCACCACTGTGTCGCAGACGCTTTACGTTGGTGTTGGAAAAAGAATGTTATGAAAACATGGAGGTTTTTTAGGTGCTAAAGTAGAGATCAGTTCTATACTAATGGAGTAGAGAATTCCGGGCTCTAGGAAGTGATCTGATGCATGGTATCTTATAGGGCTTAGTTTTCTGGACCTTACAGGCTTTTCTTCCCCCCATCTTTCCGTTATTCTGTTGCTGGTGTATCTTAGATGAGTCCTTTTTTCTACTGCTGCCAACTAATGCTCTTTTATCTGTGACATTATCTTTGTGTTGACTAGCTACTGCCCCGTGTTAGATGAAAGCTTCTATTTTGAGCTGCCATCCTGTCTCAGGTTGGCACCCTTCTCAAAGTTTTTCCTAAAATCATGTCACAGAACATTTAGACACAAAGTTATCATTGACACACATGAAGTCCATATTATTATAACGTACATGCTTCAGGACCCAGCATCAGGATTATTTGGTTCTTCATATGAACTGTTAATGAGATTTTAGCGACTATCTATTGTTTTGATCTTTTGCCATCAATAATTTGTAGCTATTTTAAACATCAGCTGTGTTTTATGTCCCACAGAGTTTTTTTCAGTCATGACTCATTGCCAAAAATCATTCTTCAAGGCTTTAAGGATACAATTTTATTCATGTGTTACTGATAATGGCTAGAATAACAAAAAAAATACAACTCCTTCTAAATATCGAAAAAACACAAAGAAAGTTTGAAGACTTTACTAATGAAGATCAAAGACCACTGCTCTCATTATAGATTATATTTCAACAAAAGGAAACAGAGTCCTCACAGTGGGGCCAATAAACATCATGACAAATGAAGAAAAGATTGAAGTTGTCAGGATTTCATTTCAGTTGGATTCGCAATCAACACCCATGAAAGCAGCAATCGAGAAATCAAATGATGTGTATTGCATTGGGTAAATTTGCTGCAAAAAGTCCCTTTAAAATGGTAAAAAGCAAATCTATCACTTTAAAGACTTAAGGTTCACCTGGCCAAAGCCAAGCTATTTTCAATTGCCTCATATGCATGTGCACATTTGACCATGAATAAGGGGGGCCAAAGAAGAATTGAAGATTTGAATGATAATGTTGACAAAGAATATTGAATTTACTATGGCCTATCTCTTGTCAACTTGTGAAGGGGTGGAGTCTAGCTTGTCAATCAGGTCATAGCCAATGAGGCCTCTGTGTGGGCATTCTTCTGAAGATTCTGGGAACTCCAGTCTTCCTCCCTGGAGGTGGGACACACATTCTCTCTCCAAGACATTCCTGTTGACAAGCCATTTGGAGCTGTGCTGATGGAGCCAGAGCCTTGGAACTGGAGGACCCACATGGAGACCCATACCAGGGCTGAAATGCTTCCACCGCCACTGGAACCACAAGACTTTCCACCCACTGGCCTGTGATCTTCCTGCATTCTACATCATTGCATGTGTTGCGTGAATCTGAAGAAGAATTTATAGAGTGGTTCGGACATAAGGGCTAATATTGGACTTATGGACTTGATCTGGACTGGGATATTTTCTTAATATACAATTACTCTTTATATAAAGCTCTTTCTTAGATACATACGAGTGTCTTTGAGTTTGTTTCTCTAGTCAACCCAGATTAACACACAGAGGAACAAACTAGGGTCACAGTGCTCCTTAGAAATAAGAATAGCTAGACTGTCTCATGCATTTTGGACATGTTATTAGAATGGATCAGTCCCTGGAGCAGACCTAATGCTTAATAAAGTAGAGGGTCAACAAAAAAGAGGAAGACCCTCAATGACATTGATTGAAACAGTGATGGTAACAGTCAGCTCAAACTTAACAATAATTGTGAGGATGGCACATGACCAGGTGAGATAGTTTATTGTGCCAGCCTGGCTGATAAACACAAGTGGGATTAACTGAAGGGCAGAGAGATAAATGGCTTGGTGAGTCTCGCCTTTCTTGTCTCTCGCTCTTTGATCATTGGACCAGTGTGCGGCTGCCTTGCTTGTCCTGTGCCTCAATTTAAAGGCTGCACTACCTGTGGGACGCCTAGACTGTGGACTGTGTTGCTGTAAGTTGAGGTCCCTTTAAGACATCTCTGGAGCTGGGGACTGGCAGTTGGTGACCTGGCTGGCAGTTGGTGACCTGCCTTCTGATTGGCTGCTGTGCTGACATAGCCTAGCTCTCTCTATATATAGAGGAAGATCTGGCAGCAGACTGGACTGGAAGGACTGCTAGTCTCTCACAACTCTCTCATGGCAGTGAGTTGAATTGAGCCATTTGTAGTGCTTTATAATTTAACTGTTTATTTCTTGTATTATATATTTATCTGTATATGATTCAACAGTTCATTTTGTTATATATCTAATTATCTTTATAAATAAATATATTAAATTATCAGCAATTTGGTTTTATCTCTCTAGAGAACCCTGTCTAACACACCAGGTATGGTTTCATTGAGCTGAAATACAACATATCCATAAAAATAAAGTCTACAGTTTATTGTGGGAAACTGAGAATGGGGAAGAGAGTGTTTGTGGACAAATTCTCTATGCTCATATTTGAGGAGTTTGGGAGGTAGGGAGTCTGGTGGAGGGAGGACTTCACACTCATGAGTTGGAGATGAATCCCAGTTCCATTCTTCTAATTAAAGTTATCCTCCTCAGCATCTCCCCTTAATGATGCCAATCTTAAGATGCTTCTTACAAGCTCATGGTTGCTTACTATATGCTTCAAGGTTATCTGCCTGAAGGTTGTTTGCCATCAAGAACAATCAGACCCTATTGTCCTTAGCACCCTAAATATGGCCTACTCCCTTCTGATAAGGATATAGATTATTCCCCTGGAGAAGAGCTTTGGGACACACCTAAGGTCAAACCAACGCAGGGACGGCCAAGCTGCCATCTTAACTCTAGAACCTGCCCCCACTGTTATGTATGTGCCTTCCTGTCACATGTATGCCCTAGTACATCCTTTCCTGTTTCATATGTGTATGACACGGCTTGCATGCCCCAAGATTATATAAACCTGTTGGAGAATACATTAGCACTCTCTCTTGATCCTGTCATTGGAAGAGGTGAGCCCTTGCATGCTTGTCTGATGTTTCTTTAATTTACCCTTCAATTACACAGTCTCCCCTTAGGAGCCATTCAGTTGTGGAGGTCGGTGGGCCCACAGTTTATTAAGATACAACTATCTTGAAAATAAGTACAAAGATCTTATTTACTGCCCCACTATCATTAGTTATTTGTTTTAGGATTTTGAAGACTGTAAAAATAACCATTTTAAAGGTAAATAAGAAATTAGTATTGCCAACTAATTTCTTTATAATTTATTTTATTTTAAGCTAAAATCTCCCTGTTTTCCCATTCTTTTATCACCCACCCTCCCTTCATTCTGTGAAATGATTAGAATTTGTATTGTACCCGTTAGTTGCTCTTAAATAGTTATGGGAGACCAGTTAGGAATCATCAACTTTGGATTCCATTTCTCTTTCCCTTTTTTTTCTTTAGGACTTACCCCTTTCAACGACACTGTATAAATGTGGCATGTAATTGAGATTTTTGTCTTGGAGCAAAGGAGTCCTGGTTACATGATGAACTGTTAACTGTAAGATCAGCAGTTCGAAATGACCAGGTGCTCCCTGGGAAGAAAGACGAGGCTTTCTACTCCCGTAATGATTTATAATCTTGGAGACCCCCAGGGACAGTTCTACCCTATCTATAGAGTGACCGCGAGTCCGAATTGACTTGATGGCCATGAGTGAGTATGAGTCTTGTACCAATTTATCTTTCGATAACCACCTTCCTCTCTAGTAATCCAAAAATGTAAGTTTTATGTCCTTTAGCCATTGATCAATTTCACCTGGGCTAGTTTTGGAGGATCCTTGTACAAAGAGAAAATCATTTCTGCTCCAAGACAATTAATAGTTGTTTCCAACCAATTGAGCAACAAAAGCAACTAGACTCCACAAATAAGCAGCATATGCCCCCAGTCCTGATACTGTATTGATGTTATTGATGAAGGCAGTTACCTTAGTTTCCTATTGCTACTGTAACAGATTACACAAGTCCAGTGGCTTAAAACAACACACATTTATTATCTTCCAGTTGGTTCTGAAGTTCAAAGGGTCTCCCAGATTAAAGTCAAGGTGTCAGCAGTGCTGCATTCCTTCTGGGGACTCTGGGAGAATTTGTTCTCATGCACCTTTTCCAGCTTCTGGAAGCTGCCCACATTTCTTGCCTGGTGGCCTATAGCCAACAATTATATCACTCTGAGCTCTGCCTCTATTTTCACACCTCCATCATTGATTCACTCTCTTTCATTTGAAGCTCTGTGGGAGAAAAATGAGGCTGTGTGTTCCTGTAAAGAATTATAGCCTCAGGAACTCTATATAAGATTGTTATGAGTCAGAACCAACTTAATGGCAATAGATGGGTGGGTTTCACTTAACCTGGGAATATATTGTGGCCACTTAGCTATCCAGGATAATCTTCCATTTTAAGATACTTAAGTAATCATACCTGTAACTTCCCTTTTGCCATGCAAGGTAACACATTCTCATGTTCTGAGGATTAGGACATCGATATCTCTGGGGTTGGGGGCGCTGTTTCATACCCACAGCAAGTAAACTCAAAAGTAGACTGGGTAGGAGAGTTGAAAAGTGATTGGTCAATGAACAAAGCAGCATTATTAATTTATGAATGTTTCTCAGAGAACTCCAAGCAGAGTGTGGTGGTAGGCGCCAATTCAACAATCTCATGTGGAGTAGGGGCAAGTTGTAATGAACTGTGTGATATTCTCGGTGAGTCACTAGCTAGTAGTGGAAA